CTAAATTTCTTGACTTAAAAATACACGTGTTAATGTGTCACATTTACGTTTATTGTCGTGTGCGACACGTAGTGAAAAGTTAACGAATTTATAAGTTATTTATTGAAGTTTTTACTTAATTTACACATATGAAATATTGGAATTTTATCAAAAATAAAACTATATACCAACTTATTATTCTAAAAAATTATCCAAATATGTCCACCTTTTTTATCTTAAAAAATCTATGCAAACTAATCATACGTGTTAGACTAATGATTAGTTTTTACCTACGTGACACGACACTTGACGAAAAGTTGGGATGCCATGTTTGATGTCTCGTGCCCTAGCTAATTGATGAGTGCCATTTATGGAACTCATGTGGTAGCATTTTAGGACGTTTTCCTTCTTTTTTTAATTCTTTTTCTCTTTAAAAAATGCCTTAGTTTCGTTCATTTATGCTTTAGCTTTTTGGTTACCCTTATTTTGTGTTTTCTTGTGATTTAAGGGTATTTTCGTCTTTTGGACTCCACTCGCTTTATTTTATTTTATTGTAGGTTTTGTTTGGGGCTCGAGATTTTTTTTAGAAGATTCTTCAAGTTTTTGGATGCTTGGGACGAGATCTCATATCATTTTGTTGCCTAAAGATCAAGCTAAGAAGCAAACTCCTACTCACGGCTTGGCGCTCTCGTGCCACGCTCTCATCACATCTCTTGGTCATGAACATGCAAAAATGAAGACTTGAAGGCTGCCCCCCTTGTGAGCATCATGTGAGAACGTCGGTGAGGAGCATGCATGTGTGCGTAGGGACCAAGGCAAGGGCTGAGTGAGTGCGGGGTGCTACTGCTATGTGCGGGTGCGTGAGCGCGGCTGGGCAGCCATGATGGCCACGTACCTTGTGGCGCGAGCGCACGTACCCCCTTTGGGTGTGCGTGGCAGGCTGACCGAGCTTAGTGCTTGGCTTACTATATATACTTTAGTTCTTTCTATTTTTGGGCATGATGTTTTGCTAGTACATTTTGGCATAGTTCCAAATTTAGTTAGTGAAAAGTACAGAGAGAAACACTTAGATACTTGATTTGTACTTCAAAGTACTTCAATCAAACTTGGATTTCCCCTTAATCAATGATAATTAGTGAGTTTTTTTTTTCCTTTAATTCTTCTCTTTTGGTTTGATTTTAGTTTTGATCTTAGATAATTGTTTGATTTGGTTTAATTTCTTGATTAGTTGCTTAATCGCTTGATTTTCTCTTTGATTAGTTGAATATGGTGATGATGATTAGCTTTGTTTTGTTTTTTCAATTCATGATGATAAGTGAGTAGATTTCTTAGCTAGGGTGTTGGGGAATCATGTTTGATTGGAAGTTTGTTGCTAATTTGGAATTTTGATCAATAGGTTGTTGTAATTAATCTGATTGATGAATTTGTGCATGTGTTTAGCATAATAGGATTGATCAACCTAGAATTCTAAACTTGATTGCATTGATGATCTTGACATGACCACTTGATTTGAGATTGTTAATTTTCAACTTGTTTGAGTTGTGATTCTACTAATTTGTCATCCTTAGTGGAAACCTAGATTGACAATTAGTCTAGATAGCCTTTTGAACTCGTTGAATGCAATTGTCATTAGTCCTTGCAACGCCTATTGCTTCGATTTACCCCTAATTTGGCACCTTATCATGATTTCATGTGGAACCTAATCCCTACCATCTTTGTTATTGATTTTTCCTCAATTACTTGCTTTGTTTGATTAGCTTAGTTCACAATACATTCAAACACTTGTTTCGAGGTAGCTTAATGCATAGACTATAGTGATAGACCCTCCATTCCTCGTGGATCGACTTGGACTTGCCCCTATACAAGGAGTAGGTTTGGTTTATGAATTTTGTTGACTTGGGAAGGCTAGCCTAACGACTCTAGTTTCACCCTTTTTAAAATGGCGCCGTTGCCGAGGAACGGTGTAGTTTGTTTGCTAAGTTGTTGAGTCTATTTCATCTTATTTGAAAAACACAAAAAGATTTTTTTCCTTTAAGCTACATTTGTAGCCGTGCTACTAATTGTTTCTTTTGAGATTGTATGCGTAGTGCACGTGCTTGTCCACTTGTGCCTTTTGATCCAAAAATTGAAAGGACGATCTCTAGGAGAAGAGTTGCTTTAAGATCTTTGAGCCCCAATCCATCAAGAGAAGAAGTGCCACAAGAAGAAGAACAAGCAAGCATGGGTGACAATCCAAGAGTAGCCTTGAAGGAGTTAGGGATACCCGGAGCCTATAGGTTTGAAAGCGGCATTGCACCACCTACAACTCCCGCCAATGACTTTGAGATCGGACCGGCCATGATAACATTGATTGAAAGAAGACAATTTAGTGGAGCTAAACATGAGAGCCCCTTAAATCATCTCAAGGAGTTTGAGAAGTATTGTAACACAATCAAGGTTAATGGTGTGAATCAAGAGTTCATTCGCCTAAAGCTCTTCCCCTTCTCACTCATAGGGAGGGCTTTAGAATGGTTAGATAAGGAGGTGAAGCCAAATTCGTTGATAACTTGGGATGAGGTCACTAAGAAATTCTTGTCTAGATTCTACTCCCAAAGGAAGATGGTGGAAGCTAGGGCTCTTATTCAAAGCTTCAAGAAAAAGCCAATGAGAGTCTTTATGAAGCTCGGGAGAGGTACAAGGAGTACCAAAGAGAGTGCCCTCATCATGGGATCCCAACCTATCAAGTTATTCAAATCTTCTATGGAGGCTTGAGCCCTCAAGGAAAGTCTTGTCTCGATGCGGGTGCCGGAGGCCCTATTATGAATCGAATGAAGGAAGAAGTTATTGATATCATTGAAGATGTAGTGAGGCATTACATGGATTTTCAATATGGTGATAGGGAGAGTAGCTCCTCGGTCTACTCCGTCGATCATCTAAATGCCATCAAAAATTTGTCTTCACAAATATCAAGCTTAGGGAAAGAGATGTCTTCGATCAAAGCTAAGTTAGAGAGTTCTACCTTCCAAGCTCAAAATCTTCCCTCCCAATTTAAGGAGAGGTACATCATCTAACCCTACTCCTCCTTCTTCCTCTAATAACATGCCTAGTGGGTGCTTGTTTTGTGATGTTTGTGGTTCATATGATCATGATGCTTCTAATTGCCCTCATTCTTTTTCAGATGGATGTGATGATTTTGATAGTAATGAGAATGAGCATGTGAACTATGTGTCTAATAATAATGGATCAAGGTTTGATAATCAAAGAGGCCAAGGGAATTGGAATTATCACAACCAAGGAAATTTTGACAACTATAACCAAGGTGGTGGTTATAGGAACTAAGGAAACCAAGGTTTTCGAGGTAACTATAGCAACCAAGGTTATAGTGGCCAAAATCAAAACCAAGGCTTTGGTAATCATAACCAAAATTTTGGAAATCAAAAGCAAGGTTATGGTAATCAAAATCAAGCTAGAGGTAATTGGAACAACCAAAATAAGCGCAATTTTCGAAACAATCCACAAAGAGGCCCTCCTCCCGGTTTTGTTCCAAAGACCCAAGCTCAAGGTGATAATTCCTATGCACCATCCTCTTCTTCTAGATCTATTTTGGAAGAAGTTGTTGAGAACCAAACAAAATTGCTAACCACTTACATGAATGTGAGTGACAAGAAGTTCAATGAGATGATGACTCATAGTAAGATGCTAGAGAACAAAATTACTCAATTGGACAATACCTTGAAAGAGAGTGCAAGTCCTTCTTCTTTACCCTCCCAAGGTCTTGACCCCAAGAAACCGGTTTATTCTATCACCACTAGAAGTGGCAAGGTAATAGAGGAGAGAGTGTCTAAGAGTAGTCAAGAGAAGGAGAAGGTGAGTGATTCATTAATGATGATAAGCATGATGTGTCTAGCAAGAAGAGTGGGAGTTCTAATGAAAAGGCTAAGGAGAAAGAGAGAATGTAAGATGAGGTTATAAAACCCAAACTTCCTTACCCACAAAAATTTTTAAGGCATAGCATGGACGAACAATTTGGGAGGTTCATCGAGATGCTTAAGCAACTTCATCTTTCTATTCCTTTCACTGATGCTTTGCAACGAACGCCAAATTATTCCAAGTTCCTTAAGGACATTTTTAGTGGCAAGAGAGAGTGCAATGTTGATTCGGTGAATGTTGGGGAGTGTTGTAGTGCTCTTATCCATAATGACCTACCCCCAAAGATGAAAGATCCGGGGAATTTCTCCATCCCTTGCAATATAAATGGCAAATTGTTCCAAAATGCTCTTTGTGATTTAGATGCTTGTGTTAGCATCATGCCATACTCCGTTTTCAAGAAGCTTAAGCTAGGAGAGCTACTTCCTACCAACATGACCCTACAATTGGTCGATCGTTCCATTAAGATTCCCAAGGGTAGGATTGAGGATGTCCCCCTCAAGATAGGAGAGTTTACCATCCCCGTAGATTTCATTAAATTATGCTTGAGATTGCGAAAGATGACAATATCCCATCATCTTAGGGAGACCATTCTTAGCCACGTCAGGTGCCTTGATTTATGTGAAAGGCAACATCATTACTTTGTGTGTTGGTAATAGTAAGGCTAGTTTCAAGCTTAAGTCAATGCATGAGACTCTATCTTACGTGTAAGGAATCATGTGTATAATTCACTTCCAAATAGGCGAAAAATACAAATGGGCACCGGTTCAAAACCCCCATTTAGCACCGGTTTTGAACCGGTCCTTATTTGAGGGACGCCAAAAACCAAAAGATTTCGCACCGGTTTAAAACTGGTGCGAAAACTTAGATTTCGCACCGGTTCTTGCTGTGAACCGGTGCGAAAAATGGCCCAAAAAAATTGAAAACTTAGATTTCGCACCGGTTCTTGCTGTGACCCGGTGCGAAAAATGGCCCAAAAAAATTAAAAAAAACTTTTAGCACCGGTTCTATTTAAAAATCGGTGCCAAAAATGCCCAAATTTTTTTTTTTTTTGCATTTTTTTCACTTAAATTGATATAGAAACACTAACATATATATAAAGTTACATATTTTCATTAAAAAAGGCTGTAATATTACAATTTTAATCTAAAAAAATAAAATTAAATTAAATACAAGAAACCACCAACTTCTGAAGCACTGATTTTATATGGGCTGTGGTCAGGTCCAGGGAATGAACCACTTGTCACTTCATCCTTGTACTTCACAAGGGCTTTGTTGATCACATCTCCGACGTGTGCATATTGAATTGCTTGCAGAATTTAGGAGTAACCTGCAGTTATTGATAAAAAAAAAACCAAAAAACCTTCTATTCTACTTCTATTTCATTTTAGGGGTGGCGGTGGCAGAAAGTTCGAGTAGCACTGTCTAACCTTTGCATGGTGAGGGTGTTGCAGCATTCCCAGAAGATCATGATACACTAACACCTGAAATTTAAGAAGCATTTGGTAAAAGAGACCATATATGATTGGATGCATATCTCATGGAGTTAGTCTACAATAAAAATAATGAAATCTCAATTAACCTTTTTTTCTCCCCTTTTGAATGACAGACAGGGAAAATAGTTTGGTGAAGAGGAGTCAATGCTACAGTTCCTTTTTTTAGTCGAATCTTAGAAATGAGGTCTAAGATTGTAATAAATTTCTTATAGAATCATTTAGGCTTTTTAATGATTGAGCATGACAATATTAGGATAATATCAAGTGAATCAATTAGACATAAAAAAAATCCTGGTGTAAAAATAAGAGCATAGGCAATTGAGTAAGTTTATCTGATTTTAGTCTGAAATAGTGGTAAATTTTATGGGACCGCAGAAAGAGTGCATCATACTAAACAAACTTCGCTGCAGATGCAGAATTCTGCATCTTTATGATGAAATTATTTGAAGCATGGGGAGAATGAAGAAGGGAAATAGCATTTTGCATTACAGAATGGTAGGTTTCCTACAACTAGCCAAGAATTGATTATATAGTTTTCTAATTTGTGATGCAAATCAGAGGGACCATAATTAACATAAGGGCATCCATAAGTCCGGCGAAGAAATAGACCAGTGTGGCGGGGTGGAATGGACGGTGGTGGTGGAGAAAGGAGAGAGATAGAAGAGAGAAGAGAGAGATCTAGTTGAGGAGAGAGGAGAGAGAAGAGAGAGATAAAACAAGACTAAGGAAACAGAAAGAAAGAAGAGAGAGATAAAAAGAGACTTCTGGAGTCGGGTCAGGTAGAGCCATCCTTTTAAGAACAACATTGGCAGCAATTAAACCAGCCTGACTAAGAGATACATATCAATCCACGGTATTATTAACTCATTTAATAGAGAATGAAAATTATAATACCATTCATACTTATATTATGAAACCAATATACAGACTCTAGGAAGAAGCTGCAATACCTTTTTCAGTATACCACTTAGGAAGAAGTCGCTCCCCTCCACTTTTAACACATGTATGGAACCAAGGAAGTGTAGCAGTACTTGTAAAACCCAATTCACATTGTCAATAGCATATCCAGAAAATTTGTGACAACAGTCATATAACAAAGTAAATCCATTAATCAAACTTAGCTAGTGCTAGGTAGTGAAAAATCAGCAATTGCTTAATAGATGCATCAAAGTGTCAATGTGGATACCTTATGATCTAGTGAAAGTGCATTATCCAAGATTAACACCGATAGTCAATAGATAGAGCTTCAACTCGAGCAATAACTTAAACTGGACTGACTTATCAGCAAAAATAACATATAGTTGAAATTATTATAAAATTGTTATATACTGAATTTATCTACTCACCTTTTGGAAAGAGGTAAGCCTTGCTGAGAGCAGCGCATTCATAAGGAGCCACCTGGAATAGAAAGATGTATAATTAGGTCTTTCTCAAAAGCTGAATTTGCAGGAGTAAACACAGGGAAAAAAAGATTGCACAGCTAAAATGTAGTATCATGCAGGCTACAGCAGGAACTGCAATAAGAGTCAGAAGCACTTCCAATAACAAGCTGGCCTCACCCACCCACAACAACTAAAGTACATCGACTTTCAGCATAAAAGTTTAGCAAACAAGTACAGCTCACAATAGCTAATATTTTCCGATAACACGATTCATGATAACTTGCTTAAGAGATTTTAAAACAAGAAGTGATGAATATTAAGAGCAACTTGGATTAAATGACAATGTAAAGTATACAAGCATAAAAAATAAACAAACATCGAGAGTTCAGCATACCGTTTCTTTAGAAATGAGGGCTAGTTCCCCTGGTTGAAGACCATGCTTCAAAACCTTTCTAGCAGTATGCCCCTGCGAGCAGAAAAAAAAAAAGCCATCCAACTTCAGAAACAACAAATACCAATGTCCAAATAAAGAGCAATTGCATTCACAAATCATGCATTCATTCCTAACCAAATAAACATGCACTCATTCCTAACCAAATCATGCACTCACAGCTATTAGTCATTACATTAAACTTCCACAACAAACAAAGTAACGTATCAATCATAGTCAATGCTTTCAATCACATCATAAAAATCAAAGTTCAGCGACAACATAATCACAATTAACAGTAATCAGCATGAAATTAAGCAACGAAGTAAGCAGCAATTCAATCGATAAACAACAGATAAATTACATTTTCCTGCGAAGTAAGCAGCAATTCAAAATCAACAAAAAATAAAAAAATAATCAAGCAATGCGCTTACTTCTTTGGCGGCAACAGAGATCTTGTTAGCCTTTTCCTTCGCTTCTTGGCGGATGAATCTAACCATCTATTGGATATGCTTCTGGACATCGGTGTCATTCATCTTCGGATATGCAATTTCTGAAAATTTACAAAAAACCCTAATTGGAAAGGATCAACAATTATAATCAAAATAAAAACCGAGAATTTAAGTGTAGATCTAGAACAACATGAAATTGCAAAAATTAAAGAAAAAAACGATTGATCTAGAAAGAGAAAGCGAGAAATACCTAAATACCAAGCTCCCAAGAAGCATTTCTAAGCGATTTCACGAGAAACCGATTGAGTCATGAGATGGTGAGTTGAACGGCGATGGCAGCGTACCAGAAGAGGTAGAAGATGAGCATTAATCGTCTCCCTATTTCTCTCTTCTCTTATCTTCATCTACTTTGCCCCATCCAAGCTTGGTTTGCTGCTGCATCTTTGTTGATTAGGGTTTGTTTGAGGAGAGAGGAGAGAGGAGAGAGAAGAGAGAGATAAAATGAGACTATGCGGAAACAGAAAGAAAGAAGAGGGGAAAGAAAAAGAAGGAAAAGGGTCTTTTTTTTTTATTACAATTGGCACCGGTTTGGTTTGAACCGATGCTAATAACATTATTTCGCACTGGTTTGGTTTGAACCGGTGCGAATTCACCTTTCCCTCAACCCGCCTATTTTTTTCGCACCAGTTTTTAAAAACCGGTGCGCATTTTGCGGTGCTCATTTAAGTTTTTCTACTAGTGTTCCTTTGAGTGACAATGCTTACATGTTTGTGTCTTCTACTAACGACATTCTTGTAGCTTGTGATGATGTTCCTACAAGTGTCGAAAGCAAGTTGGTTAGTAATGATGTCAAGGAGCCTTCAAAGCTTGAGGACGAGGACGAGCTTGAAATACCTTTATGGTTTGAGCTTTCGTTGAAGGATGATGAGCATGGTTCTCCAAATGTTGATGATGTGAAGTCGCTCACTCCATGGAAGAAGAAATTAAGAAAAAAGAAAAGAAGTTCAAAGAAGCAAAAGAAGAAATTGAAGACCAATATCCTTGATTCGACTCTATTGTCTCACCATAATGAATCTTGTGATGAGTTTTTGCCTAGGCTTGGAAATAATTTTGTTCTCTCTACCACTTTGGATAAGGTGGTTTTCTTTGACCCTCCGTGAGTTGGAGGAAACGTCAAGCTTTTGATGTTAAATAAGCGCTTCCCGGGAGGCATCCCGATTTTCCTATTTTTTTTTCCTTTTCTTTCTTTTGCATTTTTGGTTTATTTCCTTAATTTTCTTTATTTTCGTAACTTTAGGTACAATGGGATTGATTGGATTTCGATATCTAACAATTTTGGTGTCATTTGAAGGTTTTGAGTGCTTGCAATTTGAGTTAGAAGTTGAGAATTGATGGTTGAGCAGGGACGCTCTCATGGTTGCCCTCTGATGATTTTGATGATGAACAAGCAAATTTTGAGAATTCTGGGCTGCCTTGCTCATAGGCATCACATGAGCCCTGTAGTCGAGAGCGCTATTAAGCCTGACTGCATCACTCGGCCACCCCCGCAGCACCCTCGCTGCTCACCCTCCGCAAGCACACCCCGGCCAAGCATTCCAGCCCGCCGCATGCACGCATAGTAGGGTCTGCAAGCACGCACAGTAGGATAGGCTTGCGTGCTGCGTGCTGTTGCTATGCCGTTGTTTTTCCCCCCTCCCCCTCATTTCTCCTTCTCTCTCTTTGACCCTATCTCTCTCTCCTCTATTTTCCCTCAATTTCCTTATTTCTCCATTTTAATTTCTTCAATTTCCTCACTGAAATTAATATTCTTAGCATTGTTTATACACAAATTTTCATCTAAATTTTTGATTTCATGTTCAAAATTTTTGAATTGTTGCCCAAATTTTCAAAAATTCTTATTTGTTCATGAGATTTGGATATTTTGAATTTGGCATAAGAGCTTGCATTTGGGTGTTTTATTTGCTTTAATTTCATTATTTCATCCATTTTTTAAGGTTTTTATTCTCCATTGAGGTATGATTTCTACTCTTTTGTTCATCTTCTTCTTCATTTGAGAACTTGAAACCCTAGGTAGGGCTTTAATGGTAGATTCCCATTGTTAGTTCTTTTTGCTCATATTTTGTGTTCTATGATGCTATTTGATGTTGATTTGAAGCCTTTTTATCTTGGAATTGATTATTTGCTTGAACATTTGACACCACCATTGTTAGTTACCTTTCTTTTTCATGGGTACTGTTCTTAGTATCATTATTTCTTTGTGTTTCATTACATTGTCATTTAGACCATGATGTTCATGAATTTTTGCTTCTCTATTGTTAACTTTTGCCATTGATTTTTGTTTTGGATGCTTCTTAGTTCTTATTGTAACTTCCTTTGTTGCTACTACACTAGTCATGGCATGAGTTCATTAAGCTAATTCTTGTTCATCAATATTGGGGTCATTCTTGTGCTTGAATTTCTTATGCTATAAATAATGATACTTTGGTGCTTACTTTATTTCAAATACATTTGATTGGCTTATCTCCTATTCATGATGAATTTCTTATGCTTGCCCTTATTTCTAGTAGGTGGCCCCGATACGCCGCACTAAGGGGGCTCGCACCTCTAGTAATGCACCCCCCACACGGCAAATAGTTCCACCTCCTCCCGAGGTGGTTAAGACCTATGGTATTGAATTAACAAAGAGGGAGTATTAGGATCTATTTGTTCTAATATTGAAAAGGAAGCTTAAGTCCACAAGATTCTATGATCAAGAAACAACAACAAAGTTAGAAATTGACAAGGATGTTCGCTGCCTAGCGAAAAATTTGGGTTACTCGATTTGTTAGCTCTAGTCGTTTGATTTCGGAGGCCGATGAGGGGAGTACACATTCTACCCATTACCAAAGTGCCGAGTGATTCCTTCCTAGCTACCCCACTTTTACCTGCTTGTTTTACTTTGGTATTCATTCTTATGCCTACTTGATGTTAGGATTTGAGCTTGGGGGGGGGGGTAGCTTATTCAAAGTTTGGGGGATTACTTACTTGATTTTTGAATGGAACGGTGTCCTTCGATCAAGTGTATTATTCCGATAGAAGGTTAGGAATTAATTAGAAAGTTAATTATTCAGTAAGGTTAAGTGATCGGAATGCCTAGCTGGAGGCTGCTTCGGATCAATAATATTAATGAATAATTAATATTACAGCTTAATCTTGACTGAACCCTTCGGTTCACACCCAATCGTGAAACCGAACCGAAGTGACGAATTACTCCATGGGATTAAATGAGTCAATAGAGATTTTACGAACTAAGACGTCGGATACCGAGCTCAGAGCGTCGAGGCCGAGCGTTGAAAGTCAAGTCGAATTTATGAGTTGACGAGACGAAAAAGTTAGTCAAACAATAAGTCAACGCGGGTGAAAATCCTAGCCTCAATGTGGCCTAGCCAATCGAGGGCTAGGTAGGCTAGCATGGCTAGCCGGGCTCCTTGCCGTAAGGCAAGGCTTGGTCGCAAGCCCAATTTGCATCGCATGCACTGGCTGGGCGAGCTGGCCGAGCAGCCATGCGGGCATGGCTCGCCAGCATGGCAAGCATGAATGCGGGGAGGTGCACCAGCAAGGCCAGCAGCATGTAAGGCGTGCCAAACCTCCCTTACAGCAGCAGCACACAGCGTAGCAGCCCACATTTCGTGCGAGGCTTGCAGGCTGGGCTGTGTGCGTATGCGGGCTGGCTGGCAGGCCTAGCCAAACACCAGGTCGCCAGCAAGGCGTGCCTTGGTGCCCAAGGCTGGGTGCTAGCTGACGCCACACGGTTGGTTCCGGCAATGCTTGGGGAGCAAGGGAAGGTGGTCCTTTCCTTTTGTGGTCCTCATCCACTCTCTTGCTCTCCTTCTGCCACTTGACGTTTGATGATTGTTTTGGTTTTTTAATTTAATTTGGAATTAAATTAAATCTTATTTTTGCCTTTTACCAACTATCCCACATTGAAAAATGATGGAAATTATTGGGGATATTTCCTTATAAATACCCATCATTGGGTATTAGGAATTTCACTTGAGTCGGTGAACTTTAAGGGATCTCCAAAACCGAGAAAACCTTTGCTTGTAAACTCTAAGTTGTTTCTGGTCTAGCCCTGACTAAGCTTCGGGGTAGGGACCGGTTAAGGTTTGGTAGCAAGGGTATGAGCCGTCGGAGGTTCTCGCATTTGCGGAACTTAAAGCTTTCAAGTCCGAGCTCAACGGTTGAGCAAAGCCCGCTTCAAGGGTGAGCATTCTTTCTCTCTCTTCTTTTATGTTTATGTTTATTTGCATGCTTTTATTTATGTTGTAATTATTATTCATGCGATCCGGTTATTGAGTTTTGTTTCCGCGCGGTGTCAGACACCGCAAAATCCAACAGCGGTATAAGAGCCTCTATCATTTAATTTTTACAACTAAAAATTAATTAAGGTGATTTAATATGGATTTAAATTTCTGGTTTAGCATCCTAATTAGGTTAGGAGCTCGTTTTTAATTGGATTAAAATCGTATTTATGCTAATTTTGGATTACGAACTCCGATTTTGACTTAAAAATAGTGAATTTTGGGTGGACTTGATGTTCTAAATCAGACTTTACCCACTTTGTGATTACAAATGGCCTTCCAGAAGCCAAAATCCACCTAGAAAGTGGTTTTTCGACGGGGTTTTCATTTTTAACGAAATTTTTTAAATCTTTAAACCTTCATTAATAATGACATGCAATTCTTGGATTATATGTTTGATATACCTGTTTTGGGGTTTTCTGATGTCCTGCGGGAGAGTTACAATTCCGAGACTGGAACCGGACGCCTGTACCTGCAAAATAACGGAGACTCCTGTGAGCTCCGCCTCCAACGGTCAAGTTAGTACCTGATTAAGGAGTAATTAATGCGGAAATTAAAGTAATAAGGTCTCTCTAGGTGAGAGTGTTTAATGTAGGTAATCTGCTTTGTTAGCGAGATCAGCCGGTTATTACTGTGTGTAATTAATGTGTTTGTTCCGTAATGTTTTTTCGTAATCTCCTTCTCCTCGTCCTTAATGAGGATTAAGGGAGGTATTTATAACCTTGGGAAACGTGCCCATCCTAGGTTTAGGTAAACCTAGGGCCGATTGGGCTTCCCTCGGAAATTGGGCCTGGGTGGCCGGTTTCTCCATTAGGCATGGAGTATGCCATATGTCGTGACATAACAGGTCCAAGGTGGACGAATAAGCGCGTGCCACGTGGCAAGCCCTGATAGTTCCAACCAGGGGACACTTGGCAGGACCTAATTGGTCCACGTGGCGCATTCCGATTGGTGGGAGCAAAATCCCCTAATCATTTGCCCCTCACAGGTGGCACGTGACTGGTCACGTGTTACCTGTGACAGGTGTCGCACAGTAACGGGCGACGGCCTGCTACAGGTGTCAGTCGGCGAAAGGACGAGAGATTTTCCCGCCCAAATTTTGAATTCTGAAAGTGACCCTTCGCCTTCTCACTTCGCCTATATAAGGGAGAGTTGCCTTG